TCCCGCGGTCACGGAAACGTCATCGTCGTCGTCCGGGATCGCGGCAAAATCATGAACATTTCCCGCGGCCGTGTAGACATCATCGTCGTCTCCCGCGGTCACGGAAACTTCACCGTCGTCTGCTGCGGTCACGGAAAGGTCATCATCGTCTCCCGTGGTTTCGGAAACGTCATCGTCGTCGTCCACTATCGACACAATCGGCAAAATCATGAACATTTCCCGAGGCCGTGAGGACAATCATCATTGGCTTTCGCGGTTACGTAAACGGAAGACGACGATCGCGGCAAAATCATAAAAATTCCCGACTTTGAAATCAAATTTAAGACTAAATCCCGACTTTTCAAGTCCATTTTGAAATTCAATACTAATTCCCGATTTTCCCGATTTTCCCGACTACTAGACACCCTGAACAATGTAACTAGAACATTTAAAAGCAACTAAGGCCAAACAAACGACAAAAATAGTGAAACAAACCTAAACAAACGATAAACTATCGATTTCAATGGTTTTTAACTCAAAATGACCAATGGGCGCTGCTATTATCACACCAGCAGTGCCCATTTTTTTCTAATTCTTAAGCAACTATGGCCAAACAAACGACGAAAATAGCTAAACAAACCTAAAAAAAAGATAAAGAATCGATTTTAATAGTTTTTAGCTTAAAAACGACGAATGGGCCCTGCTAGCTTCACACTAGCAGCGACCACTTTTTTCCTAATTCTAAAGCAACTAAGGCCAAACAAACGACGAAAATAGCTAAACAAACCTAAACAAACGATAAACAATCGATTTCAATGGTTTTTAGCTCAAAACGACCAATGGGCGCTGCTAGCTTCACACTAGCAGCGACCACTTTTTTTCTTAATTCTAAAGCAACTAAGGCCAAACAAACGACGAAAATAGCTAAACAAACGATAAACAATCAATTTCAATGGTTTTTAGCTCAAAACGACGAATGGGCGCTGCTAACTTCACACTAGCAGTGACCACTTTTTTCCTAATTCTAAAGCAACTAAGGCCAAACAAACGAGGAAAATAGCTAAACAAACCTAAACAAACGACAAACAATCGATCTCAATGGTTTTTAGCTCAAAACGTCAAATGGGCGCTGCTGGTGTGAAGCTAGCAGCGCCCACTTTATTTTTCGTTTTTAAAAGAAACTAAGGCCAAACAAACGTCAAAAATAGCTAAACAAACCCAAACAAACAATAAACAAACGATTTACGTTATTTTGAAGTTTATTCCCTATAAGGGTTTATTCAATCAAAAATAAAAATTATTTTTTTTTTTTTTATAAAGTATAATTGTTAAGGTCATTTATAAGGGTAAGAAAAAATGTCACCTGAAATTGGCCTAATAAGAGAGTTATGAAGCTTTGAAGTGCTAACTCCGTTTGCTTTCCAGCTCAAAAATGGTTTCGACTATATTCACCAAACTAGTCTTAAAAATTCCAAAAAATATATCTTTACAAGCTAAAACATTTTATTTCCCATATCGTTTATAAATAAAAGTACCTTTTTTTGTAAACTCGATAACTGGTTTATTTTTAAATGAATCGAGACAAGACACATATCAGAAGAAAGCCAATGATGTACAGAATGTATAAAAAAATACTCCAATGGAAAATTCTTAAGCGTTTTGAAACTGGAAAGAAAACAGAAATCACGTTAAACCAGCGTGGCGTACGATGTGAGTGTGTACAGTGCTCATACGCGCACTCACGGCGCGCGGGCGCACGCCCCTCCCTCCTCATCCCCTGCACCGGCCGCGCCTACCCTGGTTCCCGCGCGCTCTACCTGCTCTCAGCTACCTGCTGCCAACCTGTCACGTGTTTTGTATTTTGTAGTTATATTTTGTGATTGTGTTATAGCATTGACTAAGGAAATAAAATGTTGTTTCTCTTGTTTGTGGTTATTGTTAGTATTGTAAAGGTGCGATGGGAACCGCATCGTAAATACCACGTAATTGCAGTAAACGCTCGAAAGTGCTTAGAAGAATCCATGAACGGAAACGCGAGGGTGAGGATGTAAACACTACTAACAATAGTTCAAATCTCTCCGAAGAAACTAGCGAGGAAATTTTTGATCGTCTTGTGGCATCCAGGTAAGTTGTATTTTAATTAAATCATATTTAATTGTTGTTTTTTTTATGTATTTAGAAAATTTACATTTTTAATTTCTTCCCCGTATATGTAGTGTATGGAGAAAGCATTGTTTTCGTCAAAGTTTTGTGTCCCCCCCTGAACCCAAAAAAGTAGTACAGTATTCGAAGTGATGTCTGATGTGTGTCTTTATGTGTACAGAGCCACAGACCACACATGTAGTCCGATTTTGATGAATATTGTTATGTGTAGGCTCAGGGTATTTCCAGACATGTTTATTTTATATTTTTTTATTGTGATTTTAATGATGATTATTTACCATAAAATAACGGAAAATCAGATTTTCTCGAAATTTACCCGAAAGATGATTTTTTATTAAGTACGTAATAGTCCTTTTCACCACACAATGATGTTTTTGGCTGTATTACACATGGTGGAAGTAAATAAGGTGTGCTACTGCGCATCGTAGCCGGCTGCGGGCGGTGCGGGGGAGGGGTATCGTGACGTCACCTTGGGGGCAAACATGCCTCGCGACCATATCGAGCAGTGACGCCGCTCTAATAAAATTGTAATTTTTAATAGTAAGAACCGATAAAAATTCCTGAAACTTTGCATAGTCTTGGACTATTAACATGGGATGCTTATGATGTAAATTTTATTAATTTATTTGAAATAAAAACCATTCAACCACCGATCAAACTTCAAACCTTTTCATACTAACACAAAAAAGTTAGTCGGCTACCAAATCACGTATTATTTGGTCAGGTTTATAAGACCTGCGGGAAAGTTTTAGGGAAAGGTTCTAATTTAACTGTAGTATCGGTTGGATTTCGATAAAAAATTTACTTTTTTAGCTATGATGAATTATATTAAGCGGCAACGGAGCGCGCGCTCAGCCGATGACACCGTTTATTGGATAATAAGGCCACGCATTTATTATCCAAAACACTGTAGCCAGACTGTAGCTACATGTTATAAGGATATACTTTGTATTTTACATTTTAAATTAAATATGTAATATTAACATGTGACAGATATAATAAGTTGTACATTAAAATGCGTTGCAACATCTTCATTTATATACAAATTAACTCTCTTTGATAACACAGTTGCCATAAAATTTTTAGGATCAGAAATTAATAACATTTCCTTAACCAAAAACATAGTTCATTACATTTTGCACTCTTATAAAAATATTTACGACCTGAAAGTAAACAACTAAAAAATTAAACATTTCGTCACCTCTGGATTTTTCTAAACTTTTTTCAGTTTCTTTATAATTTTTTTTTTTCACCACTAGCAAAATTGCATTGTCTTAGCCTTCTGTTGATTTGTTTGATTTTGATATACGTTCGTATCGTTAGATATCTTCTGACAACGTCCTCTTGTAAGTCACCATTTACTAAGTAAAATTTATTGGTAATGGTAGTTACAGATGAACCCCAGTGAAATAGGATCCTAGCTGTCGAATTAAACTGGAATATCACATTTTTTTATCATGGTATTACAAGAGTGAAACAATTTTATATTTTAACCTTATTATAAATACAATGCTTAATCACTAACTTACCTACTTTTTAACAAAGTAGGCCTACATTTTATTATATATATTACGTTAAATACGTTCCTCTGCGTTAAACATCATTTATTATTTAAACCACTATTTGCAAACTTTGGTTTTAACTAATCAACAACGATTTGCAATACTTTTTAATGCAATTTGGCAACGTTAGCCCTATTCACAGAGGAGACAATATTATATATTCTCTGTGAACTATTACGAAATAACCCATATTCAAACGGGGGAAAACACACTAAAGTCAACAGAACAACAATTTTTCACATAAAAATATAAATACAGGAATAAAAACATCACTGATACTATGTTCATGAAACTACATTATTTGTTGGATGGCAATGTGTGATTAATACTTTGGCAACTGACTCGACTCGCAGCACGCTCTTCGATCACGCGCTCATATAACTTAGCATATCTCAGGAAATAACGCCCCTAAAGGTATATAGTTTGAATGAAAGTAAAATTTGGATCTTTATCTAAAACCAAATGCATGGGGCTTTCAATCTAGTAGTGTTATATAGTCAATGGTTGCGAGCACTCAGGTACAAGGGACGGACTAGTGACTGGTGAGTGGTGTGGTGTGGTTGTGGCATTGGTGCAGAAGGTGCGGCCGTCCCTACTCCCCCCTACCACCCACCCATCCCACCCCCAGCTAACACACACAGTTCCAGCAGCCTCCGAACGGTACCCCCAGCGCGCCGCGTGGCGACTCTGGGAACTACGGCATCTCAATGTGAGTGTCTGCTCGCGTCCAAACACCATTAAATATGGGCACTGCCAGCTTCACATACCTCTATAACTTACCTACTCTGAAGTGACTCCAACACTTTATAGTCGGACATAGAATGTTTTGTGCCGTAGAGATTTTATGCGGGTTGCCTGCTTTCAAAATATTTCCGCTCTCTGATTCTGCATTATGAATTTAATTTTACCTTAGTTTCTTAATTTCTTGCAGTTTCAAAGAATATTATGATTTTATTTAAAAAAAAAAAACCCCCCGTTACTTTTCAGTGACTTCCATGACCCACTTGTAAAATCAGTGACTTTTCTGTGACTGGTACACCCTTTTACATTAAAGTCAGCCTCGGCTGTTCTATGCCGCTGTAACACTTAGACAAGAAATGCTAAGTCGTAGACATTGTAGGCTACAATTTTTTAACAATTTGGTTTTGGAAATTTTTCTACCACATGAAATGTAGTGTTGGACATTATGAAACTCCTAAGTTTAGTTTTGGACATATGAGACTAGATGGCCTTAAACATTTTGAAATAGTCAGCTATAAAATAGTGGGTTTAGATTAAATTATCATCTTGCTTTACCTTGATGACTCCGATGGAACCAAAGTGCTGTTGTATCTCCTCTTCCGATGTGGCTGAGGTCATTCCGGAAACAAAGACAGTGTCTTCCTGGACGACATAGTCATCACCTCCTCTCCCTCCAAATCCCCCACCGCCTCCTGTAATCAAGCAGACGACGGAACTGTTAGAGAAAAGTAAAAATGCTTGACACTAGACAGATTCTACAAGAATAACAGTAGGCATAACAAAATAGAATTTTGAAATTAGTTGAGTTAATTTATGGAACCAAACAAAAAGTATTTTTTTTAGGAAACTTAATTGTTTGACTAATATACAAAAGTATTATAAAATATTTATTTTTTTTCTAACGTTCGATGTTGATTGCATTGTGAACCCCAATACACTAAGTATTTTTAGTGAAATAAATCTTGTGTTACTAAACTGTACTACTAACTCTTGTACTTATACCACACAACCATGAATAATTTACCACCAGTTGAGTAAAACACTAATTTCTAGTAAAATTGTTATCTCCTAATTATTTAGAGCATATAATTGTTTCACAACTCAAGTATTATATAAGTAAAAACCACCCATTTGGGCATTTGCCGTCGTCAATAAATTTCTACTAAAGTAATGCTGCACCCTAAAGATGAGTGGTATTTTACAACTTCATGACCTTAGGAGAGTCAACAACATGTTATACCTTTGACCAATATAATTTTTTCACTTGGATAAAATTCATGATTTATTATTCAACAAGCTTCAATAGCATTCTGTTTAACATTGAGTCAATTCTATATTAATAACTTCAATAAACCCTACCTATTGATGCTATTATTACTTTCACGAAAAAACTCAAAAGCAACGAGTTTATACTTGTGTTCGAAGCATATAACCTAGTAGAAAAACCCCTTATAGTACTTCAAATCTAGATACACTTAAAACTACGAATGGAAGACTTCAAACGTACTTTTTGTTACACCAAAGTTTACCTTTATTCACCTTTGGACTGTGCAAGAATGCACTACTTGACTACTCTATTATTCTTATTTCAACACCACCTGATTTTAAACTCAATAATTCTTGTCGACTGACTTAACCAAGCATTACACACAACTGTACACTCTAGACTTAATACCTTTCAGGTACAAAGAAGTCATACTATACCAAATACCCAGTATCATGTGATTATACCAAAACTTATAGTAAAAATCGAGTGGGAATCACACACCTCATAAGTTTGAGTGATAGCTTGAGAACTTTTACGGTATGTGCTCTGACGAAAAACTCATATAAAAAGTCAGCACCAAAAAATTAACACTCTACCCCTACCCCTTATTTTAACCTTGTAGACCAATTTGAACCTTTTACCAATATAATGCATGCCCAACAGTCAACCGTAAAACCATGAAGTGACTTTTATAATACTTACCCGTCACACTCAACCCAATTAAAAAACACTTAATCATAATTTTACTCCCCAAATAGAAGTCTCCCATTCATAGGCTAATGTCCAACGTAACATCTATAAACCAAAGTATAAAATAAGCACCGGACATTGCTGCCGGTGCATTTACCTTTGTTAAAACCACCCCTGGCGCCACTGCTAAAACAGAAAAACCAATCAGTGGATGTTAGGCCAGAGACGAAATCCTGAAGACTGCGAAGTATTTCTTCCTCTCATCTTTCCACCCTACTAATCTTCCCCTTTCCCTAAGTCTTTTACTACTACAATTGAGTCAATGAGTTTTAGTACCTTTTGACGGTTTGAGTTTTAATACCTTTTGACTGCTATTAAGTTAGAAAAATGTTCAAATTACATTTTTTTTTAAATTTGTATTTTGAGAAGAACAGTAAAACGAAATGTTTTATGTTAGACTTGAGACACAAAGAAATAAGTTTGAATTAATGGTTCTAAGTGTTTGTTCAACTAGTAATCTTACTGTTTCAATGTTACACACCCGCTATGATTGTAAATATTACTTAAAACCTCTTTAAAACACCCTGTACTCTATTTTACAGTAATTATTCAAATTTTGAATTAACTATAGGACACCCCTAAACAAACTTGAAAGTGTATGAATTTATATGTAACAAATTATCGGTAAAACGTAACTATAATAGTGACAAAGAAAAGCTTTTACTATTTACACTGTGAAATCACTACTAATTCACAATAACCCCCCTAAAATTATTTTTACGGTAGACTGAATTTAGTAAGTTAAAATCGATCCCCTCTTACCATTCAATCCCTAATTTGTACCAGAACATTTCTTATACCTTTGAAACCTGTATGAACACTCCAAAACAGCACACATTAAACTCAATAGAACTGAGAAATTTTGTCAGCATAAATTATTGAAATAATATGATTCATCAAATAACATTTAACACTGTAGAGAAAGGATATAAATACTGAATTAAACTAAAAACAATTTGTAGTTGGTGTTATTAACCATCTACAAAAATGTAGCCATTTTCAACAGATACAATTTTTGCAAATTTTTCAAATTTTGATGAAATTTAGCTAGCCTAAAAAAGATACTATAATCATTCTACTAGATTTGTTTATATGGTGTATATCCTTTCTCCAACGAATTATCAATAAAGCTTTTTCCTTGAATGAAATAATGCAGTTATCAAAACTAAAAAATGGTTGTTTGAGTTATATCATTACAAAGATACCTGGGAAATGAGAGTCTAAATGTTTCTTCAAAACCGTTTTGTCAGTAGCCGTAAATAAGTTTTAAGTGACAAAACAAAAATTACGATTGTATTGAGAGTATTACCATACTACACATGGTGGAAGTAAATAAGGTGTGCTACTCAGCCGGACACGTTTGCGCATTTCTGCGCATCGCGACGTGACGTCACCTTGGGGGCAAACCGCTTCGCGCGCGTATATAGCTCAGCGTAACACTGCTCTATTAACATCAACATTTTGAACTGTTAGAATTGAGGAAAAATTATGAAACTTGACATGGACATCAATTATAAGTGGGCGATGCGTGTTGTGAAAAACTAGTTTGTAATTGTTAAAAACTTAAGTGTGAAATCACTCTTTATACTTGGCCTTTCTTAAAACTAAACATGTAAAAGTTAGTCGGCTACCAAATCACGTACTATTTGGTTAGAAGCATTTGACCGGCAGGAAAGTTTTGGATAAAGATCCAAATTTAACTTTCCTTCAAACTATATACCTTTAGGGGCGTTATTTCCTGAGATATGCTAAGTTATATGAGCGCGTGATCGAAGCGCGTGCTGCGAGTCGAGTCAGTTGCCAAAGTATTAATCACACATTGCCATCCAACAAATAATGTAGTTTCATGAATATAGTATCATTGATATTTCTATTCCTGTATTTATATTTTTATGTGAAAAATTGTTGTTCTGTTGACTTCAGTGTGTTTTTCCCCGTTTGAATATGGATTATTTCGTAATAGTTCACAGAGAATATATAATATTGTCTCAATAAAAGGTTAAATTACCTGTGTCCGCCGGTCGATCCTGTAGAATCCTATTGCAGGATATGCATTTCGGCGATGTTAAATCGCCATCATCAGTCCTTAATATAAGAGCTTGTACTTCCCCATTAGGTGCGTCTTAAAGTTTTGAAAACACGTACACAAATTTTACACATGACGAAACACATAAATACACGGTAGGCCTACTGCGGACATAAAATAGACGCGCGTCGGTCGTGTGTCGAGTCTCGACTGGAGTCAGACTTTACTTGCAGAGTTGACCTTTGTCCTGTCTCTGTCCTTTGTAGCTACAGGTGGCGTTTCATTCAACTTTAACAATGCTTCAAATAATATGTTGGATTGTAGTGTACTTTTATCATTCAGAAGGTTGTGGGGGGTGGTTTTTGAGGCTTTGTAAATTTCGTTTTGCTCTAATGATGTCATTACTCGACTTTTTCTACAAACGTGTAAAGGTTTTAAATTATCATTCAAGCTGGAATAACTGTGATTACTATTGACTAGGTGCTCGGCAAAATTGGATTGTTGTGTTAGACTATTTTTGGGAAGGTGTTCTTTAAATCTTTTAATAAATGGTCTGCCAGTCTGTCCAATATAGAACTTATTACAGTCATTGCATGTTATCTTGTACACTCCCGACTTTTCACTCAGGTTTTTATCACTTTGTTGGGCTCTAGGTTTGAGGAGATTTTGGACGTTATTGGATGTTCTAAATGCTACAGTTTTGCCATGTTTTTTGATTTCACTTTTTAGGGTGTGGGGGATCTTTTCTCCATATTCAACTGAGACAAATTCTGTTTTTATTTTAGGCCTTGGATCTGCAGTTTCTGTACAAATTTTCTTTCGTTGTTTGCTAATTAATGTGTCGATTATGTTAGGATTAAACCCATTTTTGACGGCTATGTATTTGATGATATTTCTCTCGTTCTCGAAGTTTACGGGGCTAAGTGGTACTGATAGCAATCTATAAACAAAGCTATTGTAAGCTGCCAATTTATGAGCTATAGGGTGGTGGGAGGTTTCGTGGATGGTTGTGTCTGTTGCTGTAGGCTTCCTGTATATGTTAAATGAAATATGTTCTTCGTTCTTTGTTAAAGTTAAATCTAAGAAATTAAGTTTGCTGTCAGCTTCTAACTCAGTGGTGAAACTTAGTTTAGGATGAAAGCTGTTCATGTAGTTGCTGAACATTCTAAATTGCCTGCTATTACCATCATACAATGTCAAGATGTCATCCACATATCTGTAATAAAAAATTATTCTGCTTTTGTACTTGTTTCTCTCGTTTGTCCAAAGATATTTGTTTTCTATGTGGTTTAGAAAAACTTCTGCAAGGATACTTGAGAGGGGCGACCCCATCGCAAGTCCTTCATTTTGAGAGTAATACATATTGTCAAACTGGAAATAATTTTGGTTTAGTACGATTCTTAGTAAAGACATTAGTTCATTTATTTCCTCTGTGCTTAAGTTGGATTTATTTTTTAAATTGTCTTGTAGAATTTCTAGTGTTTCACTGACAGGAACGTTGGTGTATAAGCTGCTTATGTCTAATGAAGCTAACGTATATCTTGGGTTCAATTTGATAGTTTTTGTTTTATTGATCAAATCAAAACTATTTTTCAGGCTGTGGCTGTTTTCTAAAGTTACATGTGTTTTGACAATGCATTCTAGTTTTTTGGCTAATTTGTAAGCGGGAGCGGGCATGTAGTTAACCAGGGGTCTAATTGGGTTGCCTTCTTTGTGTAGCTTTGGTAGGCCTTTTAGTCGGGGAGCTTGGGGATTTATTGGTTTAAACTCTCTGATCTCCCTGTCAGTTAACAAAAGCTTACTGTTGGATAAAGCCTTATTTAACTCTTTGGTGTACTTAGCTGTCGGGTCCTGTGGTAGTTGGTCGATTAGATTGTTATTAATAAAATCCAGAACTTTGTTACTGTATTCTGCTTGGTTCATTATCACTAATGTATTGCCTTTGTCTGCTTTTGTAATGATAAGGTTGTTATCTGTTATCTTTGCTTGGATATTTTTTAGGATTACGTTTTCTTTTTTATATAAGCAATTGTGTTTGAGTTTCTTAGGATTTTTTAAGGTCTTTTTCAGTTTGTTATTTACCATTACTCTGACTGTATTCTGATCATTTATATCACTGAGACTTTGAATTGCTGCGTCAGCATTGATAATTTCTGAAAATAGTCCTTTAACGCCTTTTTGAGGCAAATTATACTTGAAGCCTTTGTTTAGCAAATTTATCTCATTAACATCAAAAACAATTTCAGTGAGGTTAATTGTCCTTGGGTAAAACTTATGGCTAACCTTATTAAGATCAAAGTCATGTTTTTTATTTAAAAGGGCTTCTAGTTTTTTGTTCAAAACTTTCTTTTTTCTTAGGATGTCTCTGCTAATTTGTGATTCTATTGTAAACAAGATATTATTGAGTTGTGCGGGATGGATAATGTTAAGCATCTCGACGTGAGATTTAAGCAGTAATTTATTCAACATAGACTTTTTGCAGTGCTGCTGTTTTATTTCATGTTTTAACCAAGACTGTTCTGCTATTAATTTTGCCTTTTTTGCTGCTAATGATTTGTTTTTGATTTTCACAGAGATGTACTTAGGAGTGACGTTGTTTTGTACACATTTAGTGTTAAACTTAATGTTCTGTATGGTCTTCAAAACTTTTAATTTCAAGTTCTTATATTTGTAAACAACTTTTGCCTGGCTGGCTGACAACTTCATTTTATGTTGTTTGTTGTTCCGGATCGGTTGACAATCAATAAAAGGTTAAATTACCTGTGCCAAAAAACTAGAATGCATTGTCAAAACACATGTAACTTTAGAAAACAGCCACAGCCTGAAAAATAGTTTTGATTTGATCAATAAAACAAAAACTATCAAATTGAACCCAAGATATACGTTAGCTTCATTAGACATAAGCAGCTTATACACCAACGTTCCTGTCAGTGAAACACTAGAAATTCTACAAGACAATTTAAAAAATAAATCCAACTTAAGCACAGAGGAAATAAATGAACTAATGTCTTTACTAAGAATCGTACTAAACCAAAATTATTTCCAGTTTGACAATATGTATTACTCTCAAAATGAAGGACTTGCGATGGGGTCGCCCCTC